AAAGCTCTACTGAAAAAAAAGAAGGAAATGGAGGCATCACACTCCCAGACTTCAAACTATACTACAAAGCCATAATCATCAAAACTGCATGGTATTGGAACAAGAACAGACATACAGACCAATGGAATCGAATAGAAAATCCAGAAATAAACCCACAGATTTATGGTCAACTAATCTTTGACAAAGGAGCAAAGACTATGCATTGGAGCAAAGAAAGTTTGTTCAATAAATGGTGCTGGGAAAACTGGGTCGCTACATGCAAAAGAATGAAGCTTGACCACTACCTCACACCATACACAAAAATCAACTCAAAATGGATTAAAGAACTAGACATAAGACCTGAAACCATAAAATACATAGAAGGAAATATAGGCGAAACACTACGGGATTTGCACATCAAAGACATCTTTACAGACACATCACCCAAAGCAGTGATAGTGAAGAGAAAGATAAACAGCTGGGACTACATCAAATTAAAGAGCTTCTGCACAGCAAAAGAGACAATAACAAAAACAAAGAGAAACCCCACCAACTGGGAGAACATTTTTGCACCCAACACTAATGATAAAGGACTGATCACAAAAATCTGCAAAGAGCTGATGAGACTCAGCAACAACAAAGAAAATAATCCAGTCAAAAATGGGCAGAAGAGCTAAAAAGAAACTTCTCTGAAGAGGAAATGAAAATGGCCAACAGACATATGAAAAAATGTTCAACATCACTTGTAATCAGGGAAATGCAAATCAAAACTACCATGAGATACCATCTCACACCAGTGAGAATGGCACATATTAAAAAAACTAGCAACAACAAATGTTGGCGAGGATGTGGAGAAAAAGGAACTCTTGTGCACTGTTGGTGGAGTGCAAACTGGTCCAACCACTATGGAGAGCTGTGTGGAGATTTCTGGACCTACTAAACATAGAGCTTCCATATGATCCAGCAATTCCACTCCTAGGTATTTACCCAAAGGACACAGAAACATCCATTCCAAAGAGCACCTGCACTCCTATGTTTATAGCAGCACTGTTTACAATAGCTAAGCTTTGGAAACAACCCAAATGCCCAAAAATAGATGACTGGATCAAGAAGATGTGGTACATATATACCATGGAATATTACTCAGCATTCAAAAAAGATAAACACATGCAATTTGCAGCAACATGGATGGCACTGGAAGGGATCATGCTCAGCGAAATAAGCCAAAAAGAAAAAGAAAAATACCGGATGGTCTCACTCATAGCAGGAATCTAGAAAACTCAAATAAGGGACCAGGAAAATGAATATAAGAAAGTGAAAATCAAAATCAACAAAAAAACTATGAACCAGAGACACTTTTTGGGGGGTGGGGGCGGGAGGGGAAGGATTGGGGTCAGAATGGGGCGTTTGCAATTGTATGGGGGAATATAAAAATAAAATTTAATATTAAAAAAAAAAAAAAAAAAAAAATAAAATGAGTTGGAAAAAAAATTTATGACATTGCTGAGGCAGTTAGAAATTTGATCACTGACTGGATATTTGATAGTATTACGGGATTGTTGTTACTTTTTAAAGAGTGATATATGTGGGCTTTTTTTAGTATTTGTCATTTTTAGCGATGTACTTAATGTTTACAGATGAAACATATGGTGTTTGGAATTTGCTGCCAAATAATTTGGGATGTGGGAGCAGGATGGAGTGCAAATGAAGTAAGATTGGCCAATACTGCATAGGGGGAACTTGGGGGCCACTGGACTATTCTCCTTATTTTTGTATATATTTAAGACTTTCCATTTAAAAGGGCTGATAATAAGACACGGGTTGACCCCAGGGGTGGGAGTAAATGAGAGGGATGTAGCTTTGCTGTCATCAGTCAGGGTGGTAAGATCACCAAGAGCTGGTGAGTTCTTCTCTGCCTCTCGCTGTCTTGCACCTGTACCCTGGCAGGACCCCAGGTTTGAATGGAGCTGAGCACCAGATAGACGTTGGACTAGAGGAACCCCAAGCCCCCTCCTGCTCTGTGTTCCGCAGCTCTGTGATCTACGCCGGGAAGTACAGACCCTAAGCCAATACTGCCTCCCTGTGAACAGCAGCCAAGGTGGCTCCTTCCCAGACAGCCCTCTCCCGGTTCTGGCTTCAGGCCTGTGAGCTAAATGGGGACTGTTGTCTGCAACAAGTTCCTCGGAAGCGGAGGCACCCTGGCCTTGTGGCCTGCATGCCCCAACTGGAGTGGCCACCTCACCAACATATCAGTCCTGCCCATGCTCTGTCCTCAAAGCCTCTGGTATCTCTGTCTGAGCCAGTGGACCTACCTCCTGCAGGGCAGGAATTCCCTGTGGTTTCAATGGGTGTTACCAACATGCCCATTAACAAATGTGGAAACTGAGGGTCAGTAAGGTTAAGTATGTGGTGGAACCCAGGGCTTCTGACCCTGTATCTAGAACTTTCTTTACCACAGCAACATGGGCCTCTTTTCAAAGTGACCCAAGGGACTTATCACCGAAAGTCAAGTTGTATTTCAAACAGCTGATCTGGTTTACCTGAGAACACCACCACCAAGTACATCTGGCCTAGGGCTCCCTCAGCCCACCTGACATTGAACTTCAAAGGATTAGAGAAACTCGGGACCAGCATCTCCCTCCTACCTTCACCAATTCCTTATTTCTCCCCACAGCACATTTGGTTGGGCACCTGTGGTTGTGTGTGCCAGGAGACATTGGGGAACATTCTAGAATAGACCAGTTCTCTGAATTGTTAGTGTTGGTCTTGGGGGAGCCTGTAGTTGTCAACTGTTGGCCGTGGCGCTGAATGACGGAGACATCTCTGGTTGTTATAAAGTACACTTTCTGGAAACCTGCTTGCCACGTGCCTGTTCCTGCTGCCTGACCACCCTCCCCAGGAGCTCTGCCTGTGGCCACCAGCCGCAGATGCAGAGCTTGAAATGGGTCTCTCCGCTCCGTCCAGAGGGCAAGGCCACAAAGAGGCTAGTCCCCGTGTGATCAGCGGAGGCTGCAGGGACAGGCTGCTCAAAGAAAAGCGTGGACAGCAGACAGACCGGGGCTCACCCCACATGCCCCGGAGGACAAAGGGGGTTTTCAGGATGGAGCAGCCAGGGCCGGGGTGAGGTCTCATGAGCTGGGGTCGCTGGGCCTCAGCCTGTCCACTAATGCCATGCACATCTCCCCGCTGTCAGCCTTGGTTCCTCTGCCTGCAGCGGGACTGCGCTTGCAGCCTGGAGCTTCCCTGTCGTAGTAGAAACAACATCACAACCTGCAGCTGAAACACCATGCACTGTCTGTCCAGCACAGGGACAAGGGCCACAGGTGAAAGGATGCACTTGCTTTTTCTAAATTCAGCACAAGCCTGCAGGTGGCGCATGGAGCTCCAGGTGCTGCAGAGGAAGCAGGTAAGGTGTGCAGAGCTACGGCCTGGACTGCGCCTTCCTGTCCGTCCTGCAACTCATTCCTGGGATGCAGAGGCACCCAGGCCTTGTGGCCTGCGTGCACTACAGGGACCGGTGGCCAGGCCTTCTGGTGTCTGTCTGACCCAAAGGACTGTCTGTCACTCCTTCAGGGCAGGGGCTGTGTCTTCTTTAGCCCCGTGTCCCAAGCCTGTCCACAAATATCAGTGTGCTCAACAATGAGCAGCCTGTTGGGGCCATAAACCCAACAGGCCACCGTGTGGATGACTCAGGGCCTCCTGCCCAGAGTTGGCCCCACTGAGGGGTGATGTGGGCATCCGGGGCTGCTGCTGGAGGGAGTAGGCCGCCTGAGGCCTCACCTCTCCCTCCTGGCACACCTGCAGGTGTGTGCCCAGCCTGGGCCCTGAGGCTCATTTTGCTCTTAAATCTGGTGGGGCTCTCTCAGATCCTTCCTACTTTGCACCCCCACCCACCCTCGGATTCCTCTCTGGGAAGAAGTGTCAGGTCTAGTGAGGAGTAGCCTGGTCTTTGGAGAAATGTTGCCAGAGATGCCCCTGGCCCAGACGGCAGCCCTGGCCCAGGGCTGTGCTAGGCAGAGAGGCAGAGGCAGGTGGATTAAAAAGCAGAGCTAAGGCTAGCCCTGCCTTTCCCTACTTAAGACCTTTGGGGGTGGCCTACTCTGCATGGGGTAAAGGCCAGCCTTGCCTCTTTGGCCCTGCCTGTCACTTCCACATCAGCTCTCGCACCCATTTTTGTTCCTGAGTTTTAGCTCATCTCCCAGCCTTGGGCATCCTGTCTCCTCTGCTGTTCTGTCTCTACCTTGTTCCCTCCTGCTGGTCCCCTGGGTTTCAGCTGAGGTGTCACCTCCTCCTGGAAGCCTTCCTTGACTAGCCTGGGTGACAGTGCTGCCTCTGTAGCTTGCATGTTCCCCCCTCATCCATCACATTCCTGTCCTATTTTCTGCCCACTGGTCCTCCTGCCCCTGAGTGTGGACTCCTCTAGGCAGAGCCTGGGTCCTGCTCAACCCCCAGCCTTGGCACACGGATCATATGAAATGTCACTGGATGCATGAGTGGGGAGGAAGTTAGGAAGAGAATGAATAGAAAGGAGGCTAGTGGGGCTCGTGGATCCTTGCACATGGATAGAGCTACAGGGAGCCAGTAGCATCCCCATCACACCGGGGCCCAGAGATGTACTGGCTTGCCTGGTTTCTAGAAGCCCCCTTGGGTATTCCAGACTGAAAACCCCACCCCCACTCTGTGCCCAAGGAAACCAACTTGGTGAAAGGAGAGCGAGAGGAGGGGGACAAGAAAAGCTCTGCATGGCTGCTCCCCCACCTGAATTCAGGGCTGGGGGCCTCCCTTCGGCCTCTTCCCAGCCCCCCCATGCAGAGGGCCCCACCAGGGAGTGCAGCGAGACACACACATGCACTCATGACAACACAGGGACCCTTATTTTCCAGCAATCACAATGTCCAGTCAAGCCAGGGGCAGATGTGAAAAGCTTCATCACCCCAACCCAAGCTGGAACTTTCCCCACCCACCTGCCCTATCCCAGCCAGCCCGGAGCTGGGGTTCCCCTAAGGCAGGAGCATCCCTACCTCGGAAAGTCACTTTGGCGATCCGATCACCCCTGCCCCTCAGCTCCGAGACTGTCTTGAGGTGGACGAGCAGGGCCATGCTGGCGTGGAGCGCTGCAGGAGCAGCGTGGAAGCAGCGAGGCGGATGGAGCACCGCTCACACACCGCTCCCTGCTCTGCCTAGCGCAGGCTGCCTCCTCCGGGCACGCCTCCTCCGATGCTGCCCACAGAGACCAAGGCAACCAAGCAGCTGCTCCTTCCAGCCACTCACGGAGACTCGCAGCCCTGCCAGCCCCCGCCCCTCCGAGTGTCAGCCCAGTGCGTGTGTATGTGTGTGTGCGCTGTGCGTCCAGCGTGCAGCCTGGCAGGGGGTGCAGTAGAGTCGGAATTCATTATTCAGCAGCCTCTGCCTGCTTCCAGACAAAAGCCCTGTCCAACTTCAGGTGTCTCCCAGCTCCTGGTGCCAGGTGCCTGCAGGCACCCTGGTAGGCAAACAGGATTCTGCCACCAGGACTGGGCAGATGGGAGTGGGCATGAGCCTAGAAGGGTGGGTATGGGGCTGGGGGCGCCACCCCCCCTCAGCGGGGGAGGAGGAACTTCATCTGTGTGCAAAAAAGCTGGACTGTTGCATTGGTGTTTTGGGGTGATCCACAACTGCCTCTGCCACAATCAAGTTGGCCACCAGGGTTGCTGGCACCCATGAGCTCAGGGGGTCTGGCTGCTCTGGGGGGGTCACACTGTGCCATCTAGAAATCCCCACCCAGAGCCCCACAGCTGGAAAATTGGCATCCACTAGGCAACAGCAGGGCTGTCCCTGCTGGCCGGTCCCTGGGAAGTGAGAAGGCCGTGCACGTCCCCAGCCAGCACTCAGGGAGACGGTGTCTGCAAGAGCCTGGGTCCTGCACCCTGTTGTGGGATCCCTGGATCTGGGAAGGTGAGGCACTGCTTGAGGGAAGCAGCTAAGCCTGACTGGAGGGGACTGTGAAGGCCTCCGATGCTTAAGGTCCAGGCACTCACCGAGCTCATCCCAGGGCCTGGGTGTGCAGAAGCGGGGAGCTTCTCTGCCCTGATCCTCCGCTAGGGGTAGCAGAAGGGATGTCTGCAGCGGAATTTCCAAGGACCAGCGGCCTTTCTTCCAACAACATACCCCAGGAGGGGCCCAGAGAGAAGGGGCCCCTGGGAGCCAAGACTCTCAAACTTGGAGTGTTTTTAGCGCCCCCTCGCCCTTGCTGTTTGCTTGTGTGCAATGCCCGACCCCAGTCCTGCCTTCACCAGTGCTTCCCGGAGGCGCCTCTGCACCCCCACCGTGGCCAGTTAGGGTTCTTGTCTTTGCTGCCCGCCCCCCTCACTGTTTCACCCGGCTGCGCCACTGGGCTCCTCCCACGCCAGGCTCGGAGCAGGCACCTTGGCATCCTGGAGACCTGACTGGCAGCCTGTGGATGGACTTGCGGCCCGTGGATGGAAGGCTGCCCGGGAAAGGCTGACAAGATAAAAGGGTGAGCTCGTGACCTATCTAGAATAGCCTACAGGTTCAAAAGGAGAAATACTCAATTTCCAAATTAATTTTCCAAATTAAATTTTCAAAGGATGCTAACAAGAGGTTACTCCCTTTGAATTCCATGGTCCAAGTGACCACACGATGTCATACGGGCCTCCTCCCCTCCTTCTAGATGCTTCCTTTGCTATGTTGCCCTATTTTTCTCTAGTTCTTTCTCCCTTTTTTCCTTCCTCCTCCCTTACTCTTATCTAGTCATATTGAATTAAAAAATATTTTAAAAAATTGTATTTATCAGATACAGGTGTGTAAGTTTTTTAAAAACCAGGTAAGTTTAATGTCACATTAAAAAAAAAAAAAACTAAATTCATTACCATGTTCCGTCCATCAAGTCATTGAGTGTGACCTTGATACAAAAAAAAAAAGTCCACCTCCTCCCTAGGCCCTGGAAGTTCTCTGCTGCAGGGCCTGGGCTTCACGAGGTCACCATAGCCCTGTGCATCTTTCGGGAAAAGCCCATGAACTTCCGCTGCTCAGGGTATTGAGCTTTGCTCATGTCACTTTCCACAGCTATAAAATGGTTGCAGCCCCACCTGGCAACACAGAATACCCCTCAGCTGAGCCTGCTGACCATCCCAAGCCTCAACCAGACCCAGATTTTTTTTTTAAAGATTTATTGATGCATACAAGAACTTGGGTGCGGGCCAGAGGTGCGGGGCGTTGGGGTGGGGTGAGAGGATTCCCCAGAGACAGAGTGGGGAGCAGAACAGGCAGATGTACTGAAATACACTGCTGGGGGGAGCAGCGGGGAGACAGGAGAGGTCTGCTGCGCCATGTGGGTCAGCGCTCTGGCCAGGGAGCTCCCAGGTCAGCTAACTCATGCTGCAGTGGCTGCCAATAGCTCCATAGTGCTGAGGCTTAACCTCTTGCGCCACCAGGGAGGCCCCAGACCCAGCTTTTTAATTTCTACTCCCCTATCATCCCTTTCAGTAACTCATAATGTATAATTTATTCAACAAATGTGTGCTGAACGCTAGTGCCAGGTGCTGGGGATTCGGGGGTGAATGTGATACGCTGTGGGGTACAAGCAGAGGAGACAGAAGGACCAGGACAGACACACAGGGTGGGAGGTCATTAGGGACACCTTCCTGGAGTGAGGCACCCCTGAACTGGGGGATGTTCTTTTATAAGTTTTACTCAGGCTTTTCTCAGTTGCCCAAGTTCGGGCACACGGAAGTGGCTGCCTCTGGAAGGATGGGCGCGGATTCCTTTCACCTCTTTTGCAGCCTCTCTGTTACGTCCAGCTCCTCTTCCTCCCCAGGCCTCAGGGTTCCTGCTCCTGTGTCTCTGGTAGCCTGTGGCTCCCCACATTCCAGTGTTAGTTGTCGGAGAGACTTTTGAATTCTGGCTGCACCAGCAGCCCGGGAGCTCATTAGTTTCTGGTTTATCAGCTTCCGGTCATCACCATGTACAGATGCAAACTGCGAAGATGACACCTCTCATCTTGTTGTAGAAATAAATTCTAGCCTTTTACCCAGGCAGAGGAAGAACAAGAGGTACTTCAGGAATGGTGAGGTCAGGGGACGCTTTAGTACTCATGCATGAGGTCCCAGACCTGGGGAGCCCCATAAGGTCTGAGCACCCGTTTAAAGACCAAGGGTTCCTTTAATATTCAACTGTCTCCATATCTGTTGCATTGATAGCATCGTTTTTCAGCAGGCACAACCATTTGCGGCAAAGTCCCCAGACAAGGGGTGGGGGGGGGGCAAGGCAAGGGGGGCAAGATGCAGGCATTTGGGGATGGCCTTGGAGAGAGAGAAAGACCAGCTTGGCCGGCTGCCCGACCCTGTAGATAAGAGTGCTGAGGGCCTGGCCATGAATCTTGAAAGGGAAAGAGCTGTAAGTAAGCAAACTGGTTAATTATGCCTGCATTGGCGTGTTCATTGCACCTGGGCTGGAAGTTCTTCTGGACTCTTTATTACATTCATTTGCTCAATAATATATTTTTGCTTCACTCTGACCACATAGAATCAGACTGCAAGGGACATGGGAAACCTTTCCACCTTCTTACTGTTCTTACTGATACCAGGATGCTATGGGGTGAGGGGTGGGGAAGCCAGAAGGCAGGATGGCCAAGTCACAAAGAGGTGGAAACCTGGAAGCAGTCACCCTGCTCCCTGTCCGCCCCCCCAAAGACCTAAGCCCTGCCCTGCCCTGCATACAGCCCAGAGCAGCCTTGCGGGTGTCATCAGAGGAATCTGGATGTGGGGACACTAGTTAGAGGAGGGAGGCATTACTACAAACACCTCCTCTGGGCCGGCAACAGGCCAACCCTGGCGATTTGCCCACAGACCTAAGCTGCAAACTTTGGGTAAATGTAAAACACACTTTTCCACTATATGCTTTTTGCCCCTTTCTTTTTTTTTTTAAAATACATTTTATTTTTATATTCCCCATACAATTGCAACCCCCTTATTGTGACCCCAATCCCTCCCCTCCCTGCCCCCCACCCCCCATAGAGTGTCTCTGGTTCATAGTTGTTTGTTGATTTTGATTTTCACTTTCTTATAGTTATTCATTTTCCTGGTCCCTTATTTAGGTTTTCTAGATTCCTGCTATGAGTGAGACCATCCGGTATTTTTCTTTTTCTTTCTGGCTTATTTCGCTGAGCATGATCCCTTCCAGCGCCATCCATGTTGCTGCAAATTGCATGAGTTCATCTTTTTTGATTGCTGAGTAATATTCCATGGTGACCTCCTTCTTATGAACCACGCTGATGGAGTAGTTTGAGGGGCGAGACAAGGTGACAAGGAATCTCCCAGGAAGAGGAGAGAGAGTACTGAGAACAACGTTCCTCGGGGAGCTGGAGAGCAGCTGTCAGCCTGGAGGTGGCGCCTCAAAGGGGCTGCTGCTCTCTGCGCGGCCTCCAAATCGAGGGGTTCCCTGCGGGTCACCATAAGTCCTGCAGCAGCCAGGACACTTAGGGCGCCCCCAGCCCACCCTTCCAGAAGGGTAAATGAAGTTGGTGAGGCTTTTACGCCACTGGCCCCTGCTTTCACCTGCAGCCTTGATCTTGTTCACGTAGCAGGCGCGTGGCTGTGGGGCACGCGGGCCTGAGTATGGGCACCTGAGCGTGGGTGTGTGCGCATGCGCAAGCGTGCACACCTGCGCCTAGGAGGGAGGGGGTAAAAGGGCGGCGTCAGCGGGTGGGAAGGGGGCGCAAGCTGCCGCCGCTCTGCTGGCTTGTGCCCCCTGCTTTCTTACCACTAAAACCCGTGACGACGAAGCTAAGGGCCCCAAAATTCTCTTTCAAATCGCTATGGCTTAGCAGACCTCTCTGTCCTGCTGCTCCCCTGAGCAGTGTTCAGTCAACCTGTCTCCTGCCCCCCACTCTGTCTCTGGTGAACCCTCTCAGCACCTCCCCCACGTCACCTCTGGCCTCCACTCCAGTTCTAACCCCCCAAAAAAAACCAAAAACGGGGTGGGGGGCGGGGAAGAAGAAAATGACTATGAACCTACCTGGCCTGGGCTGGTTGCAAAAGACTCCCCCATTCTCCCGCTCCTACCCCCCACCCCGGCCATCTGACCCGGCCGGGAGTGTAGCCATTCATGGGGGGAAAAGCGGGGGGGCTGGGGAAGAGGCAACCTGTCGGGCCACACAGGGGCAGGCGGCCACCGGG